GACTGGGCTAGTTCTCCATCTGATCGACGATCAACTACTAGTTATTGCACCTTATTGGGAGGTAATGTTGTTTCATGGAAAAGTAAAAAACAAACAGTGGTAACACAATCCAGTGCCGAGGCTGAGTACAGAGCAATGACCCATACGACTAGTGAGTTGACATGGTTACTACAGTTTATTCAGAAAATTGGTTTTCCAGTTCAGCTACCGTCACAACTGTTCTATGATAATCAGGCAGTCATTCATATAGTTGTCAATTCAATGTTTCATGAGAGAACCAAACATATTGAAGTTGACTGTCATTTTATTCAAGACAAGATACTAAGTAGAGACATTGCAACTCCTTTTTTGAAATCTGAGGATCAACTTACGGACATGTTCACAAAAGCCTTGAGTCGTACTCGTCTTGCAAATATTTGTTCCAAGCTTAGATTATATGATATCTATAGTCCAGCTTGAGGGGGAGTGTTGAGAAAGTTACTATAGTACAATTAGGAAAGTTACTATAATGTAATTAGGGTTTAAGTTTATTGTATTTTATTTCTTTATTTAGTGACTATAAATATAAGGTCAATAGTGAGAGGTGGGGTATGCCAAAACCTCTCTTTGTCTTTCTCATATTGTATTAAGCTCCTCTTTAATCTTAACAGAGACGACTCAGACGAGTAAAGAGTGAGAAAGGGAGGGTAAGAGTTTGAGACCAGATGAGAGACGAGTGACGAGTGAGAGAGGGATCTGAAAGTGGTGGAGATGTAGGGGTGAAGACTTAAAGTGAAGTGAAAGTCTAGATTCTAAAGAGTGAAGATAAATACAAACTCTAATTAAATATATTTATATATTTATGTATATTTGGGTTTAACCCGATTTAATAATCGGGATCAACCCTATTTTAATATTCGGATTGAACTCGACAATCCGAGGTTTGCCCGAATTAAATTCGGGTTGGGATTTTTTGCCCAGGCCCAACCCAAGTATTAAAAATTCTAACCCAAGCCTTATTTTTTTGAGTTGGACTCGGGTTAAATTCAAGTTGGTCTGCCCAAGTTGCATCCCTATATAGAAACAATCCTAGCAACAACAAGGAGTAATATCTCATCTTCAACAAAAGGAAAGAACATCGAAACGATATGTTTAACCCCCAAAAAAAGCTTATGGTATCAAAGAATTCCCTTCTTTCCTAGCATACGCTCTACTGACTTATGCGGCTAACATAACGAGTGTCAACAATTAGTAAGATAGGGCAGTTTTGGAAAGAAGGGCCAAAGGAAAAGCAAGAGGAGGTATAGTATCTACTCATTCCTGAAATTAAGGAAGATCACGAGCGCCAATTGGCTTTCTTGCATATTCGACTCTCTAATGCATATTTGACTTCGCTACCTCACTTTAGTTTGATAAAGTAGAATGAAAGTNTTTCTTGCATATTCGACTCTCTAATGCATATTTGACTTCGCTACCTCACTTTAGTTTGATAAAGTAGAATGAAAGTGGATATTGTACTTTATTTGAAAGAAATCCTACATCAATAGTTATTCCCTCCTATAGAAGAGAACTCGGAATAAATTTGATATGATTCTTGACTCAAAAATCCAGTATGATTCTTGACTTAACTAGAGTTACTCTCATTCTCAGGCTGCATAATTCCTGGAACACTGTNTCTAATGCATATTTGACTTCGCTACCTCACTTTAGTTTGATAAAGTAGAATGAAAGTCGATATTGTACTTTATTCGAAAGAAATCCTACATCAATAGTTATTCCCTCCTATAGAAGAGAACTCGGAATAAATTTGATATGATTCTTGACTAAAAAATCCAGTATGATTCTTGACTTAACTAGAGTTACTCTCATTCTCAGGCTGCATAATTCCTGGAACACTGTTAGTATTTGTTATTAGGAGAAGTACACAGTACCCAAAAAAAATTATACAAACACCTATTAAAGTTGTAAAATTAAGATATACGGTTTTAAAATTTGTTTTTCGATATCATGTTCTTCTCCTTGTTATTAATATCTTATATAAAGAATAATCGATTGTAGCTATCCTCTGAAACTATTAAAAACTAAAAGAAAATAAAGGATTGGCAAAAACCGAATCAATGATTCAGTTGACTTANTTAAAGTTGTAAAATTAAGATATACGGTTTTAAAATTTGTTTTTCGATATCATGTTCTTCTCCTTGTTATTAATATCTTATATAAAGAATAATCGATTGCAGCTATCCTCTGAAATTATTAAAAACTAAAAGAAAATAAAGGATTGGCAAAAACCGAATCAATGATTCAGTTGACTTAAGAATTTTTGGCAGCTTCAATCTAATATTTGTTTTTTTTTTAAGCCTGAACCCCAAGCTAGCGATGCATGGAGCATTGCCCAAGCATCAATCTAATATAAGAATAGGATTATATATAGAATCAATCAATAGATGTAGCATCTTAGAAAAAGCATCATANGAACCCCAAGCTAGCGATGCATGGAGCATTGCCCAAGCATCAATCTAATATAAGAATTGGATTATATATAGAATCAATCAATAGATGTAGCATCTTAGAAAAAGCATCATGTATTTTAGTACATTTGGCTGATCAGTCACACCCATTGCCACCATTAGGTGAGCCATGTTTCGTTTGCAAATATTTGCTCGAGTCGTTTGTAATAATGTGAACTATTGTGGTTTTAAACCATAAGAGAATTGTTGAGTTTTAAAACCAATTTTTGTGATGCTTTAGGTGACTACATGACAAATATAAAATGGCAAATGTAAATGTACTACATCTTCTAAACTTTAGAATTAGAGATGACAGAGTATATTGCATGGGGTTAAAAATCAAATAGTACTACTAGATCATGCAAATTCATCACTTTGTTTTTTTCAAATTTTTTTTTTTTTTTAGGGGGAAGGGGAGGGGAGAAGGGGGTTTGAACCCTTGACATTAAGAAATCAAAACTTTCACAAAGTAAAGAATATCATCGGTAAATTCATCACTTTGTATAGTTGTACACATTGTAGAATTGTTTTACTTTATTATACAATCTACTATGAAAAGAATCAAATTAGACTACAGAATGCTTGCGAACCTTCCCTCCTAATTTCTTTAGTGTTTATAGTTTTTACTTACTTAATTGCAAACAAGGTTTCATTCACTTACATTTTATCACGTATCCTTATGTACCCATTTTTTCTAAACCACTAATTAACCATCAGTAACTAAACTTTTTGAAAAAAAAAATCATAATTTACGATTATTCTCTATCCATTATCCAAAGTGATGGAGTAAAAAATTTACAAAATTATAAACTCTGTGTATTGCGTGTACTGGCCATTGGTAGGCACTAATATAATCACTAATTTTTATTTTTTTGGTCGGTATCACCAAAAATTAAAATCATGATAATCATACACATGTTAGGTCGTCTTCATATTGGATTCTAACTGTGTGTGTGTGTGTGAGAAAGAGAGAGAGAGGTCCAAATNTCATACACATGTTAGGTCGTCTTCATATTGGATTCTAACTGTGTGTGTGTGTGTGAGTGAGAAAGAGAGAGAGAGGTCCAAATGCGGGGGGAACAAAGGAGCGGCCTTCGATACAATAAACAAACAAGGGCGTATAGATAAAAACTTGTTTTCTGGGGTGGAAGAGCATTAGGCTTGGGGCTTTTAACTAAGCCCGAAGTATTTGGATTGAAAATTCAAAAGAATCATAGAGTCATTCACCCATCCACCTGCGGAACTAATAACCAAGGACTTACAAAAAGCCCCTCCTCCTCCTCCCTTCTTTTTGTTTTGAATTGTTTTAAGGCTGATTCTATAGTCCCCTTCCTTTTTTGTCTTATATTAGTGTCCGGTACTCTAACAAATCATATTTACGGTCCTTCAATAAAATGTGTACAAATATTCTTTTTATCCACGTTCGTTATAGGCTCCAAAAGTTGTTCCCTTATCCCTTGGACATGTGACGTGTTGTGAGGTGTTCAAAGTCTGATAAATACCGAGCTCTTTTCTTCCGGACTACTTACTGTTGAACTTGTTATGACCGAACAAGATTGTGCCGGCTTGGGCTTTTCGTTGGGCTCCCTTTTCTGGATTATGGTTCATTCCTTATTGAGATGCAGAGGGGTCCCTTGAGCCGTCATGTAACAATTGAGTCCATTGGATGTTTTGGATTTCGGATGGACAGTCTATAACTGTCACGCCGAAGACACATGTTATCTCTCTATTAATCTCCAAATATATCCCATCATACTCTAAGAAATGAAAGGATTCATNCCATCCACCTGCGGAACTAATAACCAAGGACTTACAAAAAGCCCCTCCTCCTCCTCCTCCTCCTCCTCCTCCTCCTCCTCCTCCCTTCTTTTTGTTTTGAATTTTTTTAAGGCTGATTCTATAGTCCCCTTCCTTTTTTGTCTTATATTAGTGTCCGTTACTCTAACAAATCATATTTACGGTCCTTCAATAAAATGTGTATAAATATTCTATTTATCCACGTTCGTTAGAGGCTCCAAAAGTTGTTCCCTTATCCCTTGGACATGTGACGTGTTGTGAGGTGTTCAAAGTCTGATAAATACCAAGCTCTTTTCTTCCGGACTACTTACTGTTGAACTTGTTATGACCGAACAAGATTATGTCAGCCTGGGCTTTTCGTTGGGCTCCCTTTTCTGGATTATGATTCATTCCTTATTGAGATGCAGAGGGGTCCCTTGAGCCGTCATGTAACAATTGAGTCCATTGGATGTTTTAGATTTCGGATGGACAGTCTATAATAAATTCAGGACTGTCACGCCGAAGACACACGTTATCTCTCTATTAATCTCCAAATATGTCCCATCATACTCTAAGAAATGAAAGGATTCAGGGGCATAAGTAATCACCAAGCTATGTGAGTTTTTGGCAGATCACAGAAACTTCATGTCCAATAACATAACATCACACGTAAACCAACTAAAGAAAACAAATAGCAAAAAATTTAGTCAACAAAACCAAGAAAAAATCCAACAGCATTCATTCGACCGATTGTCTTTGTGATCCAACAGCATCGAAACGTGAGATCCCATTGCCATTCGAATCAATCTCACTGATCATCTTCTTGCACTCAGCCAACCAGCTCTCTTCTCCCAAGCTTTTGAGAACGTTTTGTAACTCCTTCGCTGATATCATCTCATTCTTGTCGATAACAAACACCGAGAAAACGTGTCCTTCAAATGCTCTAAAACCCCGTCAGCATCAATGTCCTTGGTGTTCAGGACAATGAACTCATGCAAATCGATGAACCCATCACCGTCGAAGTCGACCTCTTTGATCATCTCCTGGAGCTCTTCGTTNCAAGCTTTTGAGAACGTTTTGTAACTCCTTCGCTGATATCATCTCATTCTTGTCGATAACAAACACCGAGAAAACGTGTCCTTCAAATGCTCTAAAACCCCGTCAGAATCAATGTCCTTGGTGTTCAGGACAATGAACTCATGCAAATCGATGAACCCATCACCGTCGAAGTCGACCTCGTTGATCATCTCCTGGAGCTCTTCGTTGGTGGTTGGGTTTCCAAGGCTGGCAAAGATAGAACCGAGCTCGGAGGATGAAAATAGACCGGAGGACATAATAGAAAATTAAAAAAATAAATAAATAAACTATTAGACCTACTTACAAAAAAAAGTACATAACATGTGTACTTAATAATCCAAAAAGATTGCGCATAAATCTATTGACAAAAGAGATGTTCATATTATATTTGGTTCCAATTTTCACATACTAAAACTCATCAATATCATTACCCGTNAGATGTTCATATTATATTTGGTTCCAATTTTCACATACTAAAACTCATCAATATCATTACCCAATGTCGCGGTCTCATACAATAAATGGGCATAAACTTTCTTTTAGTTTTTATTTTTCGGATATGTATAGAAAATAAAATTTATGAAATATTCAAATCAGATTAGATTCGATTGGAGATTTAAAATCGAATTAATATATTGATTGAACGAAATTCGATCTAGTGACAGACTCGCCCCAATCTCCCATATATATCAAGCAATTACAAAAAGGACAAGCTGAAAATGAGTTTAGCAGTGGGGAAAAGCACATCTTATGACACACTGTCTTGTTCATTGTCCCCTACCTCAACACTTGAGCATTTGCTAACTTGGTGAAACAGTGAAAAGAATACAGTGAGCTGTGCTGAAGAAACAGACATAGAAGAAGGGGAAATAATTTTGTAATGATGACCGGTGGGTATTGCCATGGACACTCACCCTTCATTTGGACCTTCTGATGCATCCAATTTGATACGGGGTCCTCTTTGGAAACTTATTCCGCGGAAAATGAGGCAAGTCCATTTTGCAAGCTCACGCTTGTCGACCCGAAAATGAAAAAATGGGTTTGGTTCCCCCCCCCCCCCCCC